GGGGGTTTTGCGCAGGGATGATGTTGGGGGTCCCTGGTCGTCCGTAGGTTTGGCAGTCTGTGACGCAGTTGTCAAATTTCTGGCCAGTAGATTTAGGGGCTGGGGCCCTGAGACCCTCTTCCCTGCAAGGGGGGCCGGCCCGAAGCCTGGAGCTGCGCCTGGAGGGCACGACCTCTCTCGGCCGTGCAGGGAGTGCGCTTTTGGGGTTTCCTTTAGGGTCTGGCTCGGGCGCCGGGTGTGAAGGGGAAAGGCGGTCCCGCGGCATTCTGGGACTTGTAGTCCGGACCGCGCCGGCCGCGATTGGGCTGGTGCACGTGGGTAACAGTGGAAACCGGGCCCAGAATGCAGCGCGCCCGGAGCCTCCCTGCTCTGCGAACTCGTGCTTTATTCCCCGGCGGACCCCTGCGCGCTCTCGGGAAGCGCTCGGGTCTCCTGGGGTGGAGCGGTTCCTTAGACCGCTCTCCGTCCACCGGTGTTAGCAGAGGGAGCGTCCCATCCAAGCTCAGTCCTTTCCTGGTTGGGTTCTTGGCCCCGAGGTAATGGTCTCTCCAGCATTGTGGCCTTACTTGTGGAGTAAGTGCTGTCTAGAACCATCTAGCACGCAGGTTATGGAAAAACACTCCAAGAGACACGGTCTGACGCATTGTTGAGGACACGTATTGACCGGGGCATCTAGCGGGTGTAAGCACCAGGTTAAAGGTTCAGTCCTATATAAACAGCGGAACGCAGTGCAGACAGATGTAATCCTTAGAAAAATATAAATGCTGCCTTAGTATTTCTTGGACTATTCGGATGGCTCGAGGTTAAGGGGGCTTTTTGAGAAAAGATGGGCTTGAGACGAAGTGAGTGATGGCGGTGGCCTGATGGAATTTAGGGTGGAAATTGTCCCATTCATAAAAGCAGCATGAAGATGTGAAGGTGAGCAAGGGAAATTCGTGCTGTCTTCACTTTTTCATAGAATCGTGGAAAGCAAATAGGGCCAGAGGAAGGCAAACCGCGTGCGTAAAAGGTGAACCTTAAGAGGCTTTTTGTTGTGCGTTTGCTTGCTTATAGCTACAGGCTGTATAATTCCTTTTCTTTAATATTAGAGACCTTTCTCCCAATCCTCGGCTCCTTAAATAGCTCCTTAAATATCACATCGTTTGCCAATGCCCTTGACTTTTATACGCATTGCCTCCAAATTTACAATGCAGAGGGCGGTAAGATTAGCTCAGAGATGATAGATTATTTAAACTACTGGTAACGTAGTGAGTGGCTATAGTGACCCTTGATAAAAATCTTACCAAGAAGTCCAAGAGTTGGAAGCCTTTTGGTTACAAATAGAGTGAACTTGCATATTTGATGATACGATTCTTTTCATAATGCCTGAAAAATTGGACAATGTGTGGTGTTTTCAGGAAATAGTTTATATCATATTTTACTTAAGCTTGTGGTTAAATATCTAGAAAGCCCTTTGTAGTATGTAAATATTAATAGTAGGTATTTTTTTTTAAAAAATGCATTTAATCCTGGAATTTGTTCTTGCAACGGGTAAAGTAATAAGGTTGAACATATGCAAGGCCTATAATTATCTTGACGGTGGTGGTTTTAAAGAAAATGTTAGGCCAGTCTATATTTCTCTTTCTTTTCCTGTCACATCCCAGAGAGCAGGTGCCCTGGGTGCACACACAACCCCCCTCACTCGAAATCCCTAATCCCCAGTCTCCTATGCAGTTTCTGCTCCAGTTTTCAGATTGCTTTTTTGAATTTTGGCCCTAGAGAAGGTCCTCTTTTTTAAACATACCTGGGCGTTTACTCTTACTCCCTTTTTCCTCTGGCACCCTAATGGCACCTGGTCACGTTTTTTTCAAACTTTACACATCGCCACCTCCTTTTCCATTTTTATCTTTAACTGGCTCGCAGCAGCTCCTACTAGCTGTTTACGTTCCTCTCAGTCGTCATCATCATCCTGCTCATTATAGCTAATAATTCTGCCAACTTAGTATACAGATTGGCTCTCAGGAACAGGATGCCTTTGGCAATTAACAATACTCACCTAAAATGCCTTAAATAATAGGGCTTATTGTTGTCCACGAGTAAGAAGTCTAGAGATGGTGGTTCTAGAAAAGATGCAGTAGCTTCATGACGACGTCATTAAAGATCTATCTAGGCTTTTTGTTCTTTTCTTGGTATTTTGGCTTTTTTGATTTTCAGGCTCTTTGCCTCTTGTTTGCAAGGTGGTTGCAGATGCACCTGATATCATGCCATTGTAAAAACCTGGGGAGAGAAGGAGCATATTTTCTTACAGTTCTCTCTTAACAGAGGAGATTTTTTCCCCAAAAACTCACATAGACTTCTGATTCAGTGTCATTAGGTCGAACTGGTTTCTTGTTAACTGGTCTCTTGTTAGTTGTAACGGGGGCTGAGGAAGTGAAAAATCTGGTGCTTCCCAGCCTCTGTTGTGGATGTGGTCATTGCTAGAGTAGAAGGCCGGTGAAGAGAATGTGCTGGGCTGTTGGCCTTCCGCTTATATTACCCTTGAACCAGCTCCTTTGGCTGGCTGTCTTGGGCTTGTTCTCCATCTTTCTTGTCTGTTCACGTATTTTCTGCCTTATTTTATAGGAATGGGAGGTGACTTGCTAAATATATACAGTGTGTGCGACGCATTGCATATAGACTTAGGGTATCCAGAAGTGCTTGCCGTAGGTTGGAGACAGGCTGTATGTTTGGCTCTGAGCTTTCCTAGTAGTCAAAGAGAAAACCAAAATTAATTGGTTTTATTTATTTGGGTAATGAAACTGCAGTGATTTCAGTAACCTACACTGGATCTTAGGCACTTCTCATCCTCTCTTTCTGAGGTCATCGGAGAGAGGGAGAGGCTGCACCGTCCCCTGCCTGTGCCCTGTCCCATACCTCCGGCCATCACCCAAGATCTGGTCAGCCATTTTTTTTTTTTAATTAAAAATTAAAAAAAAAATAATTATTTCCTTTATTTTATTTATCATCATTGTATTTTTTAATTTGACCAGAGTGAGAAAGAGAGAGACAGAGAGAGAAAAAGCAAGTTGTCAGGTCCAGGACTTGAACAGTGGTCAGCCATGTGGGAGCCCAGCCCCTTTAACCACCATGCCGCCTGCCGGCCCCCTGATCAGCCTCTCTTAAATAGTGGCCTGTTGCCAGGCCTGGGCTCCTCTGACTTACCTTCTCTATCATGGGTTGATCGTCTTTGTTCTTAAGGTGCTGTTGCCTCCAAGCTTTGAGGACTTCTCTCTCATACTTCAGTGTGAACCCCTCAGAACCTGGGTGTGCTTGAATACTCTATTGAGCTCCGTGTCTTTCCTGGGAGATGCTCCCTCCTCCCACCCGTCCTCCCGGAGCTGCTGTGGCACTGTCCTTCCTTGTGGGCCCTCTCTAGCAGGCTCTCACCCTCCATCGGCTCTCCAGTTAGTGCTTGTTCCCGAGCGCAGGTCCATGCTGTCTGACAGCGGCCGCTCATTTTCCCTTCCCCAGGTAGATTATTACCTCCTAGCTCTGGGCCCCGTCTTACTTAGTGGCTGTCTGCTTTGTCATCTAGCATGGAGCCTTGCTTCAGTCCTCAAATTCATGTGGAGTTGCACTTCAGTGGTCAACTACTGGACATGTGGTGAGTGATCTAGGACATTTAATTCTGCTTCTAGTCTACAGCGTGCCTCTGAGCGTCTCTCACTGCCCTTCAATTCCTCAGAAAATGCAAACTTATTCTTTGTCAGTTTCTGGACGAAGTCAGCCAAATGCAAACTGATTTAAGTAGTATTTCTTTTCCCTTTTTCCCCCTTTTTTTTTTTTTTTTAAGGTTTTTGCTGGCGCCATTAGGTGGAGTGTGGGTTAAAGGTGTTGGATTCCCACATGGCTGGCCGCCGTTTGAGCCCTGGACATGGTGGCTTGCTTTCTCCCTTTTTCTCTCTGTCTGTCTCTGGTCAAATTAAAAAACAATAACAAATGGAATTAAATAAATAATTATGTTTATTTTAATTTTGTTTTTAAGTTTTTTTTATACATTCAATCATTATTTAGCTTGCAAAGTGAACATTTCAATATGTGAACATTTCTCCCCAGTCCAGTTGGTCAAAATATCAATAAATGATTATTTTTAAAAAGAAGGTTTTTGCCATAGGGCGTGTTCACTGCTGGAGACAGACAGTGAGAAGGAAAGTGAGAAGTCACCCCCTGGGCCTGGGCGTGGGGGTAGCCACACAGCAATTCCTTTTCCTTCATTTTCTTCCTGGGGTTTTGAGCACACAGGTATAGGTGCCCAGCATGATTTTCAAGCCGCCTTTTCTGGGACTTGAACTGCGGTTGGCCATGGGTAGGGGGTGGAATCCTTCACTGCAACCACTACACCACCGGCTGGACCCAGCAGTATTTCTTTTTTAAATAAATGTAGACCTCAGTTTTGAAAATGTCTGTGGCATGGAGAGCTTCTCACGGAGACAGTGAAATGCCGTGGTGCCGAGGGACTGACCGAGTTTGTGCGTGTGCCTTGTCCTCGCTCTTCTCTCCTGCCACCGAGCCTAGGGGTGCCCAAGGTCTGATGCTAAGGGGGCCGAGAGTGTTTCTGCTTTTTCTCTTTTTTTAAGCTATGTTATTCATTTGTTTAATTTGACCAGAGAATGACAGAGCAAGAGCGAGAGAGAGAAACTGAGAGAGCAAGCTGCCAGGTCCGGAACTCAAACTGCATTCAGCCATGTGGGAGTCCAGCGCCCTTAACCACCACTCCACCTGCCGGCCCCTTTCTTGTTTTATGGCTATGTTCTGACCATATAAAATAATTTTTAATTTTTTTTAGTGTATTTCTTCCATGAGGATTGAATAAGAGACACAGGCATCCCCAACATGGTCTTCATGCTGCAATCCACTCTCAGTTTCTGTCTTGTGTGTTCAGGGCATACACGCCCCTTGTGTGCACAGGGAGGCCTTGGGATGAGAACCGAGAGCCTTCCCATGTGTGTCTGGGATGCAAGCTGTTGCATTACTGTGGTGCCATTGGCTGGCCCTTCTTTCTTTCTTTTTTTAAAGATTTAATTTTATTTATCATTGTTATTTTAAATTTGCTATAGGGCACGTGCTTGCAGCAGAGAGAGAGGGACAGTGAGAAAGCAAGCTCCAGGTCTGCGACTCACACCACTGGACCGTGTGGTCTGGAGCCTTCACCATGATGCATACCACCTGCCGGCCTCGGCCCCTGCTTCCTAACATAATAGTGGGGGTCGGATTGTGCAGGCTTTCTCCATGTTTTACAAAGCACAATATGTAAGTTAGAGGTAAAATTACCTACGATTTCCTCTGGTAAATTCAGCATTAATGCTGATAACTTTTTGTAGTTCAGCCTGAATTGGTGTTAATAGCTTTTCATAGCCCGTTCTTGTTCTTATTTTGAAATTCAGCTTAGGAGAAGTAACTCTTGAGAATTACTCTTTTAAGCAGAGCGTGCATTTAAACATGTATTTTAAAAAGAAAAACACTGAAATACATTTTAAATAGAATTCTGGTATTTTAACAATCATCGCCTGACAGTTTTAGATGTAAGGGTGTTTATTCTGTAGCTAGTATTCTAGCAAAGTATCAGTTACTGAGGTTTGAATTGCTTTTCTTTGAATTAGAAAATGCTTTTAATGAGCTATTTTCAGTCTATGGTTATAGTTTTTGAAACTAATTAATATGCTGAATAAAGCACTAAATGATAGGAAGAAGATCCCCGCCCTCTCCAGGAGGATTACCTGCGGGTATGTTCATTTTCTTCCTTTCTTTCTCCTTTTTTTTGTAGTCTTTGTGAGGACATTTTTCCTGTGAAAGTTTTTTGAAATCCTTGCATTAAGTGCTGGCTTGCGTGAGCAGGACCCTAAGGCAGGGAGTAGTCCATGTCTGTGGGCACTGCCCGGCTCTGGGCTCTGGCTCTTCCACTGATTGGGAAGCTCCGCTGTAGCCCGCAGAGCTAATCAGACACACCCACCCAGGCTGCGAATCCAATCCGAGCTGGGGCAGTGGTGGGAAGGAGCTGGGAGCCCCTGAAGCCATTTTGGAAGGATGGGGAGCCTGTGGCGCGTCTGCAGTCTGGGTCCAGTCCTGGCCAGGTGGATGGTGCCCTCTGACGCGTGCCCTTGGGCATCATCTTGGCCCAGGTGGCCAATCACCTTTCTTCTGTGGGTTTCCTTGGGATTCTGTGAACTATCCAGTAGCTCTTGAAAAAAACACACTGTTCTATTTGAGTTAGTTGGAGTTGACAACCAAGGGTTCTCACACTTCAGCAGCCAGACCTGTCGGCGGTCAGGTGCATGGTAGAGACGCGTGCGAGAGGAGCAGCGGTTCACGTCGGAGGTCAGGTATGCGGTAGATCTACAGCGGTTCACGTCGGAGGTCAGGTGCGCGGTAGATCTACAGCAGTTCACGTCGGAGCTCAGGTATGCGGTAGATCTACAGCGGTTCACGTCGGAGGTCAGGTATGCGGTAGATCTACAGCGGTTCACGTAGGAGGTCAGGTGCGCGGTAGATCCACAGCGGTCACGGCGGAGGTCAGGTGCGCGGTAGATCCACAGCGGTTCACGTCGGAGGTCAGGTGCGCGGTAGATCCACAGCGGTTAACGCCGGAGGTCAGGTGCGTGGTAGACGTGTGAGAGAAGAGCAGCGGTTCACGTCCATGGTCAGGTGCGTGGTAGACACGTGCGAGAGGAGCAGCGGTTCACGTCGGAGGTCAGGTGCGCAGTAGATCTACAGCGGTTCACGTCAGACGGCAGGTGTGCGGTAGATCTACAGCGGGTCACGTCAGAGGGCCGGGG